TGTTCCCAAGTTGATGACCAACCTTGTATCCCGCTAGTAGTAAACGATATGGTGGTGGTTGGTAAGTCTTGAGAAACCCCGTTGTACCCAGGCCCACATTTCATTAGTGACCATCACTACTAGAATATGTGTTTGGTATGCCGTTTGCATCTTTTGAATGAGTAATGATGCTGAACGTCTGACTCAATCCAAGATTAAGGTGAGTCATAAAGCACAGTTTGGGAGTTGCGTCAGCCCCATCGGGTTAATTAATGATAAAATCTCAGTGACCAAAAAGACCTACTTGACACGACACTTGCAAAATATCCGACCTAGGAAAAGGATATCGTATAGCACTCAACAATCTTCTACCATAAGATTAACGTGAATTGCATAAGGAAGTTACAGGTCTTTGTAAATAGTTTTCTTCGTAATACTGTTCAAGTTAAGGGTAAAGTGCTGACACAAGTAAGGTTTGTGAACATATGCTGGTTGCTTTTGTCAAACGTCATGCCAAGTGATCATCTGCACATGCGCAGTAAGCAAGCTGAAGTGAGATTAGGTTGGAAGAAAGGCGAGAGTGGTCAAACCAACACATAACAGTGAATCATGAAGCCTCGGATTGTTGGTCTGAGTCATGTTGAAAAGTGAAAACCATTTAGCATCTTCAAGATGCAAGGAATCAATAGTTAGAAAGCCTAGATAGTATGGTTATAATTACGTGGATCACCCTTTAACCCTTTAACATCTAGATGAATATCTTAATAATATTCCCATGGACTTATTCTCTGCCTTCCAACCGTTCTACTCCTATGCATGACATCTCCAGCCGACTCACTTTCCGAGAGGTTTGATGTTTTGTTTGTCTGGCGACCCTAGAGAAACTAGTTATCCTTAATAAATATCCTACGGTTGTTGCACCCTGGCGTTTCCTTCAATGTAACGTCTTCCTGGGATTAGAGACACTTTATTCCACTACTACAACTATTTCGATCTTACTGCTTGTTCAAGCCTTTTAGGGAACCAATAAATACACAGCCCATTTAATACAGATCAATTTATTCACTCAGACTGGTAAACCCAACAGCTACAGGAACGACTAAAACAGATGGTAAAAGATGAAACAGTCGTATTCGATGTATAGAGGAAATATATCGTCAGATGTAATTCGCAAACCTGAATTAAGGATAGATCCAAGCTACTCAAGTCAGACAGTGGCTAAAAATAATTTATCTTAACAATCATGTACACAAATTTACTAGCTACACCTGTTAGAATGGCTTTAACGATAGTGTTTGCCGTCTTAACTTACATACGTAAGTCGGAGCTGGGACATCTAACCAGTCAGCTGCAGATCGAGTGCTTGTAGCATTTTATTTCACTGCATTGTGTTGATGTATGTAACAACTCATTGAAGACTTTTTGTTTAGTTGTACTGGAAAAGACTTTTTGCTCGCTCGTTGACTAATACAACAACCTGATATATACTTCGCGTTAACTCCTGATATTTGTGCTGTCTGACGCAGGTGGATCAGCAGTGTCGGAAATTATAAATAGGCGATAGTGTCTCTGGACACGTACATAAAATTTGGAGTCAGATTTCAGAGCTCGACAAACTGGTGAGCCCGACGTGATTAAACTCTCGCAATTGAATACCGCAACCGGCCATTAATGACTGTATACAATGCGGATATACATATATACTGAGAATTTCTTTGGCTGCTTTGTGGTAGGCATTGACATACTTGTTTATTGTATTTTTCCTGCTCTTGTTCTTAAATATTTCTTTTTGCTGTACCAGTACTGATGTCCTTAAACTCTCATAATCAAGACTTTTCGAATTTAGGGTCCGTGGGTGCCATTAATCTTTCTATGCCTTGTTTTAAGTTTAATGACCCGCAATTGTGGTTTGTCCGTCTAGAACATTTCTTCATGGCCAATCATATAACTTCACAAAACACAAAGTTCGGATACACAAGCTCTGTTTTGCCGGAAGAAGTGGCTGAACAAGTAAGGGAGACACTACTAAAGCCCCACCCAGACACACGTTATGATGTTTTGAAGCAGGAGGTGCTGAAAGCCACTTCGTTATCCGACCAGAAGGCTGTCGATCAACTACTAAGTAGCATATGCCTCGGTGACGGAACGCCTTCACAACTTACGCGACATATGCGAAGTCTGCTGAAAGATAGGAAAGTAGGCAACCGTTTGTTCTACCAGCTCTGACTGCGGAGACTTCCTTCATGCATTCAGCAGATATTAGCTGTCAGAGATGCGGACATTGACATTGACAGGTTGGCTGACATCGCTGACCGTATGTACGAAAGGATGCCTAAACCGATTGAAAGTATTACTGAGCCAACGCAAAACGACCGAGTGGCCGTTTTAGAGAGGAAGATAGACATACACGACAACTGACGGCTTTGCAGTTAAACCGGTCACCGGAGTTCTGTAGAAGCAGATCCCGTAGTCGTGATAGGACCACGAGTACAATTGTCTCTAAAAGTATAACGTGCTGGTATCATAAGAAGTTTGGCAGTAAAGCACGTCGTTGTTTGTTACCATGCGACTTTAAAACCTTTTCATCGGGAAACGGAAAGAAAGGCCGGCGATCAGTGACGACTGCTGTCGCCGGCGTACAACAACACACTCGTTTGTTTCGAGTAACGGATAGGAAGACTGCAGCTCAGTTTGTGGTTGACACTGGAGCGAAAGTGAGCGTGATCCCACCCACACCTTCCGAAAAACGCCATCCCAACCCAACATTGGTACTACAAGCCGCAAATAGATCTGCTATTACTACACATCGGACCAGAATTTTGATCCTAGACATTGGCTCTCATACACCATTCCAGTGGGAATTTGTCATAGCTGACATATCGTCGCCTATCATTGGCATGGATATCCTTCAACACCACGAACTATTGGTCGACTCTAGTCGCCATAGACTAGTCAGCCGTAATGGTGAATTTTCTATCACCGGTATCGCTACGGAGACAAAAACGATAATAATGCTACTAGGGAATTGGTTTCATGAAATGTAAATTGTCTGAAAGTGGCCAACGGACTCTTCTTCCGGATCTCGTGGTTCTGCTACCGTCGCTACTATTGGGTGATTCCGATGCCGTTGTTTCTGTTTTGACGGTGGTTCCCGGTTGCTTCACTGCGGGTTCAGACTTGGTATCCGTGACATCTGGTTCCATAAACGCTGATTTGATTCTATCAATGCTGACCGTTTCTCGTCTACCCGAGCGTTCTACCGTGACAACTTTGTCTGATTTACTAATTACCCTGAAAGGTCCTTCATACGGGGGCTGTAAAGGTTTTCGTACGCCGTCGTGTCGGACGAAAACGTGAGTGCAGTTTGAGATGCACTGAGGTACGTAAACTTGGTTGTCTCGGTATCGTGGGGACTGAGGTCGAAGTGTGCTCATGTGTCGCCGTAGTTGTTGTACATAGTTAGTCAAGTCCGGTGGAACGTCTGTTGCCGGGTTAAAATACTCTCCTGGCAATCTTAAAGTAGTTCCATAAACTAACTCAGCAGTACAGCAGCCAATGTCCTGCTTGACACTCGAACGTATACCAAGGAGTACTAGTGGTAATTTGTCACTCCACTTGTCATCAGTCTTTACTGCCATCAGTGCTGCTTTTAGTTGTCGATGGAACCTTTCGACAATACCATTGGATGCAGGATGGTACGCAGTGGTTCTTATGCGCTTGATCCCGAGAAGTTCAGTTAACTGTTGAAATAGACTACTCTCGAACTGCGCACCTCTATCTGTGGTGATGACACTTGGGACACCAAAGTTAGAAATCCAGTGTTGGATGATATTTCTCGCTACTGTTTCGGCAGATATATCCTGCAGAGGTATTGCCACTGGCCATCTCGTGAATCGGTCTACACATGTTAAAATGTAGCTAAAACCATTTGACGGAGGTAGTGGTCCAACGATGTCAACGTGTATATGGTCAAATCTGCCATCCGGTGGGAAAATCTTCCCGTAGGTGAAAGAATATGTCTTTGCACTTTCGATCGCTGGCACGCTAAACAAGCTCTGGACCACTGTCGAAGATCTCGATTCATCTTTGGCCAGACGTATCGGTCAGTAATTAACTTCACCGTAGCTCGAATACCAGGATGTGAAATGCCATGCATCTTAGAGAAGACTAATCGTCTCATTGATAACGGCACAAACGGGCGCGGTTTACCCTTGGATACATCACAGGTGATGGATACAGAGTCATCAAGTGTTACTTCTTCAAGACGTAATGAGGTGTTCACATTGTTTTTCAAATGTTTCAAGTCCTCATCCGTGGCCTGCAACTTTGCCATTTCTGCTAGGTCAATACGGTCACGTTCTAAGACGTTTACGTACATACGAGACAAAGCATCAGCTGCCTCATTTTTGCTGCCTTTGATATACCTTATATCTGAAGTGAATTGTGAAATAAATTCTAAATGTCGAATTTCTCGGGGCGAGTAGTTGTCATGCTTTGCATCAATTGCTTTTGTGAGTGGCTTATGGTCGGTGAATACTATAAATGAGTACCCTTCGAGCATATATCTGAAGTGCTTGATAGCCAAGTAAATCGCCAGTAGCTCTCTGCCGAATGTACTGTATCGCGATTGAGAAGCATTAAGTCGTTTCGAGAAGAAAGATAATGGTTCCCACTGACTGTGAACAAACTGTTGTAGTACTGCGCCTACCGCAACATTTGAAGCGTCTGTCATGATGGCTAGTGGTGCTTCTGAATCACGACGAGAGAGAAGAGTTTCAGAACTTAGAGCCAGCTTCAGTTTGTCAAAAGCATCATGGGCCGCTTGGGTCATGTGAAACACTTTGGCTCGTCCTTGCAATAAATCTGTCAGCGGTTGGGCTACTTCAGCACATTTAGGTATGAAACGTCGATAGAAGTTCATTAACCCCAGAAATCTTCGCAGCTTTCGAAACGAGTCTGGAACAGGATATTCTCGAATTGCATCTACTTCTTGCGGAACCGGTTTAACACCGTAGGCATTAACAATGTGAACACCTCATTACGTCTTGAAGAAGTAACACTTGATGACTCTGTATCTATCACCTGTGATGTATCCAAGGGTAAACCGCGCCCGTTTGTGCCGTTATCAATGAGACGATTAGTCTTCTCTAAGATGCATGGCATTTCACATCCTGGTATTCGAGCTACGGTGAAGTTAATTACTGACCGATACGTCTGGCCAAAGATTAATCGAGACCTTCGACAGTGGTCCAGAGCTTGTTTAGCGTGCCAGCGATCGAAAGTGCAAAGACATATTCTTTCACCTACGGGAAGATTTTCCCCACCGGATGGCAGATTTGACCATATACACGTTGACATCGTTGGGCCACTACCTCCGTCAAATGGTTTTAGCTACATTTTAACATGTGTAGACCGATTCACGAGATGGCCAGTGGCAATACCTCTGCAGGATATATCTGCCGAAACAGTAGCAAGAAATATCATCCAACACTGGATTTCTAACTTTGGTGTCCCAAGTGTCATCACCACAGATAGAGGTGCGCAGTTCGAGAGTAGTCTATTTCAACAGTTAACTGAACTTCTCGGGATCAAGCGCATAAGAACCACTGCGTACCATCCTGCATCCAATGGTATTGTCGAAAGGTTCCATCGACAACTAAAAGCAGCACTGATGGCAGTAAAGACTGATGACAAGTGGAGTGACAAATTACCACTAGTACTCCTTGGTGTACGTTCGAGTGTCAAGCAGGACATTGGCTGCTGTACTGCTGAGTTAGTTTATGGAACTACTTTAAGATTGCCAGGAGAGTATTTTAACCCAGCAACAGACGTTCCACCGGACTTGACTAACTATGTACAACTACGGCGACACATGAGCACACTTCGACCTCAGTCCCCACGATACCGAGACAACCAAGTTTACGTACCTCAGTGCATCTCAAACTGCACTCACGTTTTCGTCCGACACGACGGCGTACGAAAACCTTTACAGCCCCCGTATGAAGGACCTTTCAGGGTAATTAGTAAATCAGACAAAGTTGTCACGGTAGAACGCTCGGGTAGACGAGAAACGGTCAGCATTGATAGAATCAAATCAGCGTTTATGGAACCAGATGTCACGGATACCAAGTCTGAACCCGCAGTGAAGCAACCGGGAACCACCGTCAAAACAGAAACAACGGCATCGGAATCACCCAATAGTAGCGACGGTAGCAGAACCACGAGATCCGGAAGAAGAGTCCGTTGGCCACTTTCAGACAATTTACATTTCATGAAACCAATTCCCTAGTAGCATTATTATCGTTTTTGTCTCCGTAGCGATACCGGTGATAGAAAATTCACCATTACGGCTGACTAGTCTATGGCGACTAGAGTCGACCAATAGTTCGTGGTGTTGAAGGATATCCATGCCAATGATAGGCGACGATATGTCAGCTATGACAAATTCCCACTGGAATGGTGTATGAGAGCCAATGTCTAGGATCAAAATTCTGGTCCGATGTGTAGTAATAGCAGATCTATTCGCGGCTTGTAGTACCAATGTTGGGTTGGGATGGCGTTTTTCGGAAGGTGTGGGTGGGATCACGCTCACTTTCGCTCCAGTGTCAACCACAAACTGAGCTGCAGTCTTCCTATCCGTTACTCGAAACAAACGAGTGTGTTGTTGTACGCCGGCGACAGCAGTCGTCACTGATCGCCGGCCTTTCTTTCCGTTTCCCGATGAAAAGGTTTTAAAGTCGCATGGTAACAAACAACGACGTGCTTTACTGCCAAACTTCTTATGATACCAGCACGTTATACTTTTAGAGACAATTGTACTCGTGGTCCTATCACGACTACGGGATCTGCTTCTACAGAACTCCGGTGACCGGTTTAACTGCAAAGCCGTCAGTTGTCGTGTATGTCTATCTTCCTCTCTAAAACGGCCACTCGGTCGTTTTGCGTTGGCTCAGTAATACTTTCAATCGGTTTAGGCATCCTTTCGTACATACGGTCAGCGATGTCAGCCAACCTGTCAATGTCAATGTCCGCATCTCTGACAGCTAATATCTGCTGAATGCATGAAGGAAGTCTCCGCAGTCAGAGCTGGTAGAACAAACGGTTGCCTACTTTCCTATCTTTCAGCAGACTTCGCATATGTCGCGTAAGTTGTGAAGGCGTTCCGTCACCGAGGCATATGCTACTTAGTAGTTGATCGACAGCCTTCTGGTCGGATAACGAAGTGGCTTTCAGCACCTCCTGCTTCAAAACATCATAACGTGTGTCTGGGTGGGGCTTTAGTAGTGTCTCCCTTACTTGTTCAGCCACTTCTTCCGGCAAAACAGAGCTTGTGTATCCGAACTTTGTGTTTTGTGAAGTTATATGATTGGCCATGAAGAAATGTTCTAGACGGACAAACCACAATTGCGGGTCATTAAACTTAAAACAAGGCATAGAAAGATTAATGGCACCCACGGACCCTAAATTCGAAAAGTCTTGATTATGAGAGTTTAAGGACATCAGTACTGGTACAGCAAAAAGAAATATTTAAGAACAAGAGCAGGAAAAATACAATAAACAAGTATGTCAATGCCTACCACAAAGCAGCCAAAGAAATTCTCAGTATATATGTATATCCGCATTGTATACAGTCATTAATGGCCGGTTGCGGTATTCAATTGCGAGAGTTTAATCACGTCGGGCTCACCAGTTTGTCGAGCTCTGAAATCTGACTCCAAATTTTATGTACGTGTCCAGAGACACTATCGCCTATTTATAATTTCCGACACTGCTGATCCACCTGCGTCAGACAGCACAAATATCAGGAGTTAACGCGAAGTATATATCAGGTTGTTGTATTAGTCAACGAGCGAGCAAAAAGTCTTTTCCAGTACAACTAAACAAAAAGTCTTCAATGAGTTGTTACATACATCAACACAATGCAGTGAAATAAAATGCTACAAGCACTCGATCTGCAGCTGACTGGTTAGATGTCCCAGCTCCGACTTACGTATGTAAGTTAAGACGGCAAACACTATCGTTAAAGCCATTCTAACAGGTGTAGCTAGTAAATTTGTGTACATGATTGTTAAGATAAATTATTTTTAGCCACTGTCTGACTTGAGTAGCTTGGATCTATCCTTAATTCAGGTTTGCGAATTACATCTGACGATATATTTCCTCTATACATCGAATACGACTGTTTCATCTTTTACCATCTGTTTTAGTCGTTCCTGTAGCTGTTGGGTTTACCAGTCTGAGTGAATAAATTGATCTGTATTAAATGGGCTGTGTATTTATTGGTTCCCTAAAAGGCTTGAACAAGCAGTAAGATCGAAATAGTTGTAGTAGTGGAATAAAGTGTCTCTAATCCCAGGAAGACGTTACATTGAAGGAAACGCCAGGGTGCAACAACCGTAGGATATTTATTAAGGATAACTAGTTTCTCTAGGGTCGCCAGACAAACAAAACATCAAACCTCTCGGAAAGTGAGTCGGCTGGAGATGTCATGCATAGGAGTAGAACGGTTGGAAGGCAGAGAATAAGTCCATGGGAATATTATTAAGATATTCATCTAGATGTTAAAGGGTTAAAGGGTGATCCACGTAATTATAACCATACTATCTAGGCTTTCTAACTATTGATTCCTTGCATCTTGAAGATGCTAAATGGTTTTCACTTTTCAACATGACTCAGACCAACAATCCGAGGCTTCATGATTCACTGTTATGTGTTGGTTTGACCACTCTCGCCTTTCTTCCAACCTAATCTCACTTCAGCTTGCTTACTGCGCATGTGCAGATGATCACTTGGCATGACGTTTGACAAAAGCAACCAGCATATGTTCACAAACCTTACTTGTGTCAGCACTTTACCCTTAACTTGAACAGTATTACGAAGAAAACTATTTACAAAGACCTGTAACTTCCTTATGCAATTCACGTTAATCTTATGGTAGAAGATTGTTGAGTGCTATACGATATCCTTTTCCTAGGTCGGATATTTTGCAAGTGTCGTGTCAAGTAGGTCTTTTTGGTCACTGAGATTTTATCATTAATTAACCCGATGGGGCTGACGCAACTCCCAAACTGTGCTTTATGACTCACCTTAATCTTGGATTGAGTCAGACGTTCAGCATCATTACTCATTCAAAAGATGCAAACGGCATACCAAACACATATTCTAGTAGTGATGGTCACTAATGAAATGTGGGCCTGGGTACAACGGGGTTTCTCAAGACTTACCAACCACCACCATATCGTTTACTACTAGCGGGATACAAGGTTGGTCATCAACTTGGGAACATACTGGACAAAAATATACTGTTGCAGGTTTTGTTTCATAACCGTCATCGTAGCATTGTTTAGGTGTGATAAAACCACAGTGAGCAATGTTGGTGTTAAACGTCGAGTTTCAGGTATGAAAGATGAGTCAGTAATTGCAGTTGTGTACTTGTATCGAACTAAGGAGAAATTGTGTGTTACTCCTACTGAATCACTGCGTTGTTGGGTTTAAAATGATTGCGTGAAGCCAGACTGATTTGAAAAAAGCTGAGAGTGGGCAGACCAGTGCAGAATACTAGTCCATGAAGCCTTTATTATCTGGTCTACGGTGTATGATTAATTACGTAAGTTTCGTGAAATGATAGAATCAAACGTTCAGGGATCTAAGGAGGATGTGGTATCAGAGTCAGTTATGTGGCATAAGTATATTCACCACTTATCTCCCCACAAACTTTAAACAAGTATTCAGTCTCATGATTGTTAGCATTTTTAAGTCCTGGTTAGGATTGAGGACCTATAAAACGCACTCAATTCGCACGGTCTCAGTTTGTTAGAGTAGTAAATCGTAAGTCTGCGAGGAAACCTACAAATCACTCCTGCTAAAAAATATTACGACCATCCTTAAGAAGCTAGCAAAGTCGTGGCTCATTATCTTAGACACTAGGTTTTTGTGCAATGGATTCCTGGCTCGAATTATGTTCCACCTACTTTAGCGTGGGCATTCAGGTACCATTGAAAGTACTCGTACATTGAGTTTGGCTGATAATCTAGTGCATGAGCCTGTACCAGCTAGATGAGCTACGTTACCTTAACAAGCTTAACTTATTAGAAAAACATGCTCATTATGTTCCTATCAATTTTAAGCAGTTGCAAAGATGTAGTAAATAATATCGTTTACTTCAAGACCACTCTATCTTCTTAACAGTCCATGAACCGTGTAACTGGACAAAGGTTACTTGTTCGTCATCAAAGTCCATTATTTAGTAACTGATCGAACCAACTATAGCATAGGATAGCCATACTTATTGCACACTTGATTGATAGTTTCTGATCAACTTCTTGAACTAAAAGATACTTTCGTTACTATTCAGTAACCAGTTTATGTGATACACGGAGGTGCGATACTGCTTTAAAGAAAATTTACGCATTTTGCTTGATATCCCTCACTACAGGTGACCGGTAATTCATTCACAATTTTTAAGTAATAATGTCGTCTGCCTTTATGTTCAGCCAACTTCTTTGACATCAAGTGTAGGTTTTTCGTGAAGATTGGTGCGAATAATTATCGTTTACAAGGAGTTGAGAAGTACTCTAAACTCTGATTTTAATCAGCACCTAAAAATCAGAAGGACGCGAACATTTCTGTAAAATTCTTTTGTAAAGATTTTTGAGGGAAGTGAAACATCCAGTACTAATAGAGGACTTAGTAAGATGAAAGCATTTCAGCACATCATTACACGATAATGAGAGATATACATAGGGAATAAAGTGAAGCCGATATATCTTCCGTGAAAACAGTGTTCATAATGACTATCATTCTTGATACAAATGATGTGAGTGTATATTATGGTGTATTAAATTAATTTGGTCTGAATAACTTTTTTCCGCGTCAAATGTGGAAATATGGTCATATTCAGTACTTATAAATGAAAGTTAGAGAAACTTTACAGTACATTATTCCTTGCTTTAACCTTTTCTCAGGAGGAAGTCTTAAATTGTCCGTGGTCAATGACTAGCGCTTTTTAACTGATCTATGGAGAGCTGTTCGTTTTACTGAGATGTTCATACATGCCTAGTCAAACGGCCTTCATCCGAGAAAAATTCAAACGGAACATAAGTTATCACTTATGCACATCCAAGCAACCTCCTACCTTTACTTACTGTGCTAGGGGAAGTTGGATTAAATTGGAAAAGCGTTCAGGGTGGCCTGACCAACAACTAGCACCAGGCCATGAAGTCTCTTACTGATGGCCTGAGTTATGTGGGATGATGAAGATAGTCTGTTTGGAGTCCTCAAGACGATAGC